CCCCCCCCACCACCAACATGAGTGATGAGTGAGCACTTTGGGATAGTGGGTTCCTTCCTGTTACAAGGGAACAGGAAGGGACCTTTGGGAGAACCAGGCTCGTGCAGAATTACATCTAATGCTTTAATGAAGATGCTAATTTTGCCAGTTGTGGGTCTCTAAAGCTGACACTGAGGTGTTATCTTTATTCTGAAAATATTCAGTTTACATTCATTAACAATAACTGTTTCATAAGTTGAAAATGTTTTTCTCTAAAACTACAGACCCTTGAATTTTAATACAGTTACTAAAATTATGAGATCAGCATCTTGAATGTATCTATCAGTGCCTTCCAGTTTTAGCATATTTCAATTATGATCACAGTGGGCTTCACGAAAAACAACATCCCTAAACTGATTAGGTGTTAGGGACAAACCAGGACACATTTGTCTTCTATATGTGGCGACTTAACCACAATGTACAGAATTAATTAAAAATTTTATCCAGTTGATTCATGGTTTTATGCATCTAAGGCTTGAATTTCAGGGTAAACAGAAACGATCCCTTCAATACCTATATGAATAAATAAATACCTTCAAAATCTGAACACATAAATTTATTTTCCAGTCATGTACTGATAGTTTTTCTTTTTCCAGTAAGTTATTTTTAATGTAGAATAAAGTGGAATACAGTCAGATGTGTTTATTGCTGTAGAGAAATGAAATGAAAGCTACTGTTTACTTGTGCACTTATTGCCATGATGCTCCTCAGACTGTTAAATCCTAAATTTGTATGTGCAGTGTCTGAGCAGCTCTGACAGGCTTCAGCTGTCAGGACTGCGATCTAATACCCGAGATAATCTGTCTGGCAGAAACGTGATCAGTAGCAGCACACACTGACTCACCCTGATGGGACATCATCATGGCCGCTGCTTAGAGCTGCTCCTTTGAGCCTAGACTGGTTGTTATAGTTGCAGTAACTGCAGGTCTTTAAGTGTAAACAGTGAGGATTCTTATCTGGGTTTTGAAAGGAGTGTAAAGACGTATGTGTTAAATGAAGCTCGTAAACAGGTGTAGGAGGGAGAAAAGGAAGGAGAAATCATTTTACTTGTTAAATTCAGATTAACACTGTGGTTCACTTTTAATTCTTTAGGTCTGTATACTATGTTGCTAAAATAACTGTCCCGTTTTCCTGAAAAGTATTATTTTTGTTTTTATGTAATTAGCACCAGGACATTTTTGCAGAATCATAACATTCAACGAGAATATAAAATGTCTCTAATCCTATGAGGAAGACAGTAGTTTGACAGGTCCAAAACTAAGAAAGTGGTGTAAGTTTAAAATAGTGGAATTTGGCAAAAAACAACAACTCTGAGTGGAACAATCACTTAACACATCATTAACAATTTGCCACCAAGAGGTCCAAAAAGAAAGTTTTTTGTTGCTGTAATAGTGTTTCAAGACTTACATGTAACCCAATCTGCCAGTCCAGTGACATACATGTTTGCATTTCAGCAGAGTTTAGGATTTATCCACAGAAGAATGAGATTTTATTTACTGTTATCGGAGGAATTACTCCATATTCCCTCCACCTCTGCTGCTGAGCTGTACCTCTGTAATCTGTCTGAGCCAATCAGACCTCACTGCCTGATCACCCTAAGCTATAGCAGTGAGTCACTGCATCAGGACTCACTGTGTACATATAATCAGTTTACTCCTCTCATCTTCCCTGTACTCTCGAGGCAGGTTTTCCATTGCACAAGCACATGTCAACCTTATTGGGTCATATAAAGGTTAGTTAGGTTGGTTGTTCTTGAACTCTTAAGGATTTTCCCAAGATACAAACAGTCAGGACTCTTGCTGCTGGTCTGGTGTCTCATGGGAAATATTTAAAGTCATTGATTGTTGTGTTAAAAAAGACTTGAAAAAGCCTAAGAAAAGCATCTAAAATTTTCCAGCACTTTCTAGGGTATGCTGAAGTACATAAACATAAACTGATTTATCCTTGTGCTGCTTTTGTCTTTATTAAGACCAGGCCAACAAACATTTTGTCATTTGAGTGCTGACCAGATGCAAACTCCTGAGGCCTGGAGTTTGCTAGAGCTCTTTGAACCCTTACCTCTGTTTATGTAGGATGGCATCTTCTTCTCTTTCTTATGGTTTCATATGACACTGTGTCTTCTAATTGCTCCTTTCATTTTCCACTGTTTGTTCCTTAGGTGACCGGGCTGATCCCTGTAAGTTCCAGGCATGTAACAAGTTTTCCAGGTGTATAGTGAATCAGTGGTCAAGTGAAGCAGAGTGTGTGTGCAACGCTGGATATCTGAGTGTGGATGGCCTGCCATGTCAGAGCATCTGTGAGGTGCAACACGATTTTTGCCTTAATGATGGAAAATGTGACATCATCCCTGGCAAGGGTGCCATCTGCAGGTAAGAGAAAATTAAATATCGCTGTTCTTGTTTCACAATGTTTCTGTATTTTATGCCTCATTGGTTTCATTCTTCAGTATATTACCACATATTTAATTAGTTTACAATGTATAAATATACTGCAATATGTCTGCTTGCACCAATTTGAAGACTTTAAAATAAAGAGAAAACAGTCAGCTTTCTTCAAATAAAATGCATCTTTCTAAGCAGTTAATGTCCTGTAGATACAGATGTAGGTAGTACTTTTTCCCCATTGAAAGTAAAAAAGATCCTTTGCAGGTACAGCAGGTAGAAATTAGCTAGTAGTGAATTCTGGTATAAAGTATCTTTTATGATATGAAGTCAGTATTTTTATGCACGGTCTCTGACAATTAAAGATAAATGTTAAGAGAGGGCACTACCTCCAAAATAAAAGCTGCTTATATTACCTCGATATGTTTTTCTTATCAACAAAATTGCATTTTTAAGTTTTAACCTTTTTTGATTCGCATTATATATTTCTAAAATTAAATTGTCCTTTGTGGCCCTTGTGAATATGTGATTAATGTTATAACAAAATACAAGGCACTTTGTATGATCTGTCTCAGTTGTTCTTAAACATAAATACCTTTTTCATCTGCAAACAGCTACATAGCACTTTGGAGAATATAAATAATATGAACACAAAATGTTCCTAGGTTGAAGGACATCTGTGAAGCATTTAGATGTTCAGCTGTATACTGAATGGAAATTACAGCACTATATTACTTAATGTAATGCTTACATTACTGCTAGGCCAGTTCTAGAAATATTAAATAAAAGAGGGCTGAAAAAGCCTGAAAGCATACCATTAGACCATTTCAGTATAATCTTTGGTGTTTTTACTGCAAATTTGTACTACAAATTTGTAATCTTTGCTGCAGGTGTCGTGTTGGAGAAAATTGGTGGTATCGTGGTGAACACTGTGAAGAGTATGTTTCCGAGCCATTGGTGGTGGGCATCGCCATTGCCTCAGTGGCTGGTTTCCTGATGGTGGCGGCTGGGATTATCTTTTTCCTGGCTAGGTCGTTACAAGAGCAGTATGATGGGGAGGACACAGAGGACCCCTTACGGTACAACAATATCATTGGCGTTTTAACAACAAATTAAATGAGAAAAAATACATTTCTAGAAAGCAAACTTTTTGAACTTGCGTTGTCTTTCAGGCGAGGTGACAGTTTGCCAACACTTGAACGTGCCACCAAGTTCAACCCGATGTTTGAGAGTGACCCTGTTACTGCCCAGTACTACCGCCGCTACAATGATGATGTGCCCCAGTACTACCATGAGTCTGATCGCGGGCTCCCTCACTTCAGCAGCTCTGCCAGTGTAGGCGATTCTAAAGACCTCAGCAGTGAAGAGATAAAAAACATCTATCAAAACACCACACTCAGTAAAGAGGTAGGAAAAGGCTACATTTCTGCTGCGTAAAGCTGGGTGTCATCTGCATACAGGGGGAATTTGTTGCATTTGCAAAAAAATATGGGCCCAAAACTGAGCCTTGTGGAACACCATGAACATGCCCTCAAATAGTGAAAATGGTAGCTTAAATAAACAAGCTGAGTGTCAGATATTGAGTTGAAAAATATGAATTTCTATTTAGTTTTAGGATTTTGAAAAATTTATTATGTAGCATAGAATTGGGTAACTACTGAGCATGTTGTATCAAGAACAATAAGGGTGCTGATTTTATAACATCAGCAATGTTTAGAAAAGGAAACTTTTCAAGAGGACCCAGTTTATGGGTTTGATTTTTATAGTTCTGGATCACAGGGCAGCTGGTAAAGGAAGTGACTTTCATCTCCTACACAAAGCTTTACTTCAAGTAAAATCAATTTGACACCTCAGACAGAGCCGGCCAACTGTTGTGACATTTTTCTGGATCAGAGGTTTTCAGTCTCAGCAGGAGGTCTGTACTACGCAGACGGGTATTTTTACATGCAGGAACTCCTCATCCTCGTTCTTCCCCTCCTCTTTCTCCTCTAGACTGACTCTCACACAAACATGTTTTCTCTGTGCTGACCTCTAACCTCTCTGCAGGAGATTCAAGAACGCCTGAGGATAATCGAGCTGTGCGCAAGGGATCAACACTTTGCAGAATTTGTGCGACAGACTCAAATGTAAGCTTTTTAATTGCTGTTTGTAGAGTGAACATAAGCTGAAGGTGTGAACACCCAATTTAAAAAGAGCTAAAGAAAAAATCTTCATGTTAGCTGCATTTTCTGATTAATCCTACTATGACTAACATGGAGCGAGGAATTTAATGATTTCTGAATTGCTAAAACGAGTGTGCAACCGGAAAAAAACTGAATATTTCAATATAACTTAGAAATGCTTTGTACATAAATGTTAAAATGAAAAATACAATGAATGAAAGCCAAACTCAAACAAATCATATCCAAACTCCATGCCACTGGTAATGAGTTTACTCTGTAGGTTTTTGTGGTTAAGTTGATGATTTTAAACTCTCATCGTGAAGTGTATGAAAAATATCTTTTGTACTCCAGGGAAATAAAACCCAGTGAAACTTCCTCAGCGGTTACACTAACGGCCTGTGCAGAAGCTTCAGACCAAACAAACTGCTTTAAACTCAGCCTAATCTCCATCATGATGAGAGTTGAGTTAAGGAAAAACATTGGAAACATTTAAAAATAGCAGGAATGGTCTGGCGGGTGGCTTTAAACTATCTCTGACCTCAGATGTGCAGAAACATACAAACAATAATCCTCCTTCCTCTCTCTGCTCGCCTGTTTATGTTTCAGTTTAATTTGGTTTTTTTTTTTGTGGTTTGGAAGTCGCCTGTTTGGACCTCATCAGTCAGCAGCCAAAACCAGCAAACTAATCCAATTTTCTCTTGTTTGGTGGACCAGATTCCTGGAGAGGAGAGGGAGCTCCAGCACATAACCATCCAGCAGCCTCTGACCAGGTACCAACAAACCCACCCACTGAAATTTATTTACAGTACACTGGAAAATGTGACCGAGTTAAAGCTACAGGACAGCAGAGATAGTAATTATCTGAAACATATCCCCATTCTCTAAGGTAAAATACATGGCAAAGTTAGATCATTTCTGAGGATGAAGAGCGCGGTCACAGTTCCATTATGCCTACTGATAGTTACACCTCAGTGTCTGCATTTAACTGTAAATACAATTTTTGAACCACAGACAAATCTACACCATGTGCGATTCCTTCCTGTTGTCCTGATATTTGGTTGATCTTGGCTTATATTCAGACAATATAGCCAGACCCAGCCAGGAGCATTGTTCTAATTTTCCTCCTCTCATGACACATAAATCTTTTGCTTTTTTTCTTTTACATTTTTTATAAAGGTTTGTAGATTTCTAGGACTTGGTTTTGATTTCCAACCCTGGGCTGCTGCCGCTGTTTCCAATTTGTTTACTGATTTGTAACAAAACAGGCAAACTGTGAAAATGTCTGAAAGCAAAAGTGGAATAAAGTCAAATCGTTGGTTTTGGAAAGTCTGAAAAATATTGGGCCACTAGGAAAATGTTGGCTAAGCTGATTTCATCTGTACAGGTCATGTACAGCTGAAATAAATGTTACTTCTACATTTCTTGATGTGTCTATGAAGATGACCATGTCTTAGGGAAATATGTAATTTGTTATTTCAGTTTTGTCCCAGAACATATTAAAGTTATATGATGATTATATGATGAATATGAAGATTAATATAGTGTGTGAATGTGTGTGTGAATGACTGAATGTAGTGTAAAGCGCTTTGGGGTCCTATGGACTAGAAAAGCGCTATACAAATGCAGGCCATTTACCATTTAATATAGACTCAAAGTTCAGACTTTAAGTTGAACAGTTTAACAATAACAGTGCATAAACCATCCTTTATTTTCAGGGTCTCAAATAAAACTAAGGCTACATTGTTGATTTGTAACCGTTTCTGGAGAATCCTTTGCGGACAATGAACTCATTGACTAAACAAGTTATATCCTCTTTGCTTCACTTTTTGTTTATTCACGGCTCTTTTTGGCTTTGGTTTTGTCTTCAACAGTGAAATTTAGCTCCAATGGGTTCAGGTCTAATTGTTCAATATTCTACTGTTTCCCTACATTTGGATTAATGTGAACAGATAACATATTTTTTCTTCTGCCTTGTAACATATCAACATTAAATGGCAGCGCCACTTGAAGCCATTAATATCTATGCTTTCCAACTGTAATGTGTTCCAGCTCGTGTTGTGCCTTTCAGGTCATGATTTGTTCCAAGTTACCTCCAGCTTTTCCTGCTAGAGGTTAATCTCTGATTCATTTTTCCAAAGAACGCTGTTCCTGAGCTCTATGCTTCTGTCGATACAGGAATCCTCTGGATTTTCCCTGTGAACTCATCTTTTTATATTAAGTGATTTTTCTGTATTCATGTACCTACTTCCTGGTTGCCTGGATCTTGTGAAGGGATTTTCCATGGAGATGGACTCATCACCCTCTGTTGTCTTTTGTGAAGGTCCAGGTTTTAATGTTGGTGAACTTACCAGTGTGTTGTTTTGTTCTCTGAATGAACACATTTGTGATTCATGCTTGCCCAATGTTCCCACTGTTTTCTCTGATGGATTTATTTTACTTGCAGTCTGAGGACATACTGTTTTGCTGCACAGATGCAGCTTCCAAATTCCTCACTTGGAACCATCTCCACATCTTCAATCTGCTTAAATGAAGAAGAACACACATTATGAATTTTGTCCAGCTTTTCATTGTTTTGCTCAGCTGCATTTGAGTGTCTGAAAACAGTCGACTATGTATACAAATACATTTAATTCTTCAATGGTTCTTGCTTTATTTCTATTAAACCCCTCAAAAAGTGAACTCTTACAAGAACTTTAATATTCTTTTGTAAATAGCTAAAACAACAAAAGTTGTCTCAGAGTCTAACTATACATAGAACCAAAAGTATCTCCTGACCTCCCAGTCTTGACCAAAGAATGAGTATTTGATGGAAATGTAGAGAACAATTCTCACCATGTATTTCCTTAAGAGTAAGACTTTATCTAGAGTGGCTGAAAGGGATTAGCATCACTGCAAACATCTCAGCTTGGGAATTGTTTAACTCCTCAGATTTTCTTCTTAGATTTGCTGACATTCCTGCACAATAAAAGCTTAGTTTAGTTGTTTATGTGATGAAAAACGTTTCATTGACCTGCATAAATGTCCTAATTTCTCTACAGAAACCTGCCTTCGTCTGTGTGTTGAGGAAGGGAGTAGAGATGAAGGTGACCAAATGTTCAACAATCTTGGAGTTTATTTTCTAAGAACAGTGTTTTACTTCTGAGGGACCTTGAAATGAACTTGGGATCCTTGAGGTTGCCTCTTCTCTTACCTTGAAACTTCAACTTTTCCTGTATTCACTGTGTTGCTTATTTATTCTGTACAAAGACTTCAGTAACTGCTTTTTAACCTCTCAACAGTTTCACAGCTGCATACCTCTGTCTTACACTTTCACCTTAGCTTAAATTCAAGGGTTTCTGATAATATCCCAACTTGCCTGTCACTGCTGTCATATTAAAGAAGCGCGTCTGAAGTATAGTTTTTAATTTTTGCACCAGTAACATTATTTTAATATATGTCTTTTGGTATTAATTTCTGTTTTTCTGACGTGGTTTTTCGGACAGCTGTGACTTGCAACGCTCATCCCCATCAGTGCCTTTGCTGCTCTGGTAGCTTTTTCTGGGATATGATGTGTAGAATCTCAGAGCCCTTTTTTTAAATATATACATCACTATAAAACCATGCTTGAATCAGCAAAATTCCTTTTTTTTTCCTTCTGCTTCATGTTCACCCAATCAGTCACTTTGCAAATGGGAATGTTTACAATTGTTAGTCAGTGCTTGCTGGAACATTAACTGATATATTGAACATGCATAGCCTGTCATTGTGTTGTATATCTTTGTGAAGTTCAAGAAAGTTATCATTCTCCAAAAAGTTATTCTCTTCTTCAGAGAAGGCACCGTCATGTTCTGACAAGTCATAAGTCACTGCAGGTACTGTCTTCTTCCAGACTATCTATTCTTGAGGGTAAGTAGCAGACAGGTGCTGCTAATTAAATGCATTTTAGTCAGTGATCCTTAGTGAGTGTGACCTCTTCAAAAGCAAAAGTTTGGGCATTTTACTTGTCTTGGGCATTCAGATGTATGTTAACACAATGTCACAATCTTTAGAGGAGTGGACATCTCAGCAAATCTTTTTAGAAAGAAGAAAGACTCTTCTCTCTAAAAAGATTATGGCAGCACAGCTTAGGTTTGGAAAGTTGCATCTGATCAAACAACAAGACTCCTGGAACAATGTCCTTTGGACAGAAGTGGAGATTTTTACCCATTATGCACTGCATCATGTTTGGAGAAAACCAATCATAGCACCTCAGCACAAACACCTCATACCAACCGTCAACACAGTGGTGGAAGGGTGTTGATTTGGGCTTGTTTTGCAGACACTTGACATGGGGGGCTTGCAGTCATTGAGGTGACCATGAACTTGTCTGCCTGCCAAAGTATTCTAAAGTCAAATCATCTGTCCAGCACTTAAGTTGGATCATGCAGCAAGACAATGATCTCAAACACAGCAAATCTCCAACAGAATGGCTGAAAAAGAAAATAATGAAGGTGTTGCAATGATCCAGGCAAAGTCCATACCTCAACCTGTTTGAAATCCTGTTGTGGGGCTTTAAGAGAGCTGTGCAAAACTCAATGAGCTGAAGCACCATCAAAGAAAAGGAGTGGGCCAAAATTCTTACACAATGATGGGACATGATAATGTCAAACAGTAACCGATTACTTTAAGTTCCATCCATACATCTTGTAGAATCCCCCTCTAGAAGCCAGTAAATCATTGGGTTCACTTGGTTTTTCACAAAACTACACTTCTGTGAAAACTTTCTTCTTCTCATGACTGTAAGTTCCTCTCCTTTTCTCAAGAAATTAATATTCTTATTATTGTATTTGCACAAGTTACTATCTCATTTCAACACATTGTTTTCTACCAAGGTGTTATGTTTCTGATAAATATAGTACTTTTTGTTTTCTTAAGGCAGTATCTTACTATCTTGCTTGAACAAATTCCTATCGTGTTTCAAGTAACTATTATTCTGCCAAAGTAAAACATTATTTTACAGGTTACAAGTTACTGTGTTATTCAGACAGGTGACTGACTTGTTCTGAGAAGGTGTTGGTGGTCAAATCAGGTATTTTTTGTACTGACAAGTTACTAGCTTTCCCCAAGAAGTTATGGTTTTGACGAGGTATTATAATATTATGTAAATTACACTGAGAAAGTTTTGAAAATTTCATTCATTTGTTGTTATGTTTGCACAAGATGTTAACTTACATGAAAGCAATCATTTATAAAAAATTCACGACTTCCCGTTTTATGAACCAGGTGCTAACAGAGAGACAAATTATTATGACTGATGAAATAAAGAGAATAGAAGTTCTCATCTGCAAAACAGCCTCTTAAAATCTGTCTTTGTTTTCTCTTTTTAAGTACTTGAATTTTCTGTTTGTTGCTATGAACTAAATGATTTGTACTAACTGTAGTTGATAGTACAACCACTGATATTTGTTTTCATATATGTTTAAGCTTGGTGTATGTTTGTCACTTTAGAATGCTTGAATCCAAAACAACTGTTTCAAAATGTCAGTCGTGACTCAAATGGCTTCTCAACCCCAAAATTCTTCTTTAAAGCAAAGTTGATGGATCATGTTCTATTGTTTTGCATGCAGGTCTCGGGCTTTCTGTTTTCCTCCATGTTTTGTTTTGTATTGTGTTTTCTATGTGGTATGTACAGCCAGCACAGGAGGACAATATTCTGACCAAACCTGAGTGTTCTAAATGTAAAATGTAAATTTATGATAAAAAAAATCATCCTACTCCGAGTTTCTGTTTTAGTGTTTTTCCATAAATTTCCCACTTTTATATAAACTTTTACTATAAATAAGGATATTATATACCTTAATATTTTCTTTCTTTCTATCCAATTATTAAATCTGTCTGGCCACTCTGAAAGTTTCTTTATATTATTTATTTTTTCCACTGATTTAAAATAACCCTAACAAGCCATAATTTTTCACCCAATAATAGTGTGAAGAGAAAAAACTATTCAGACATGATGTGTAATTGTAAGCTAGCACAGTCACATTTTTCTAAAATAAAAGGATTTTTTTTACAAAATCATTTGTCTCACAGGTTTTTTTTTTCCTTCTAATGAGAACGGATGAAATATACCACTAATGTTTTCAAAATTTCTGTGGTAAAGAATGTAAACTGTAAATTAAATATGTTATGCTTCAACTTACACTTACTAAATGCTGATAAACATAAGTGTTAACAGTGACTGACAGTCTGATGACACAAAGTCTGGATGTTCCAGTTGTTTTCATTTACAAGAAGGTTTCTTGTAATAACCCCTTGACTGCTGTCAGATGGAGGAATGTAACCGAGGTGAGCAAATACAGAAGGTGTCAGTCAAACTCATTATCACAACAACTTACTGACAGCAGAGGTAAAGGTGAATAAAAGCTATAACAACAATAAGATTTCAGGTTCATTGTCTATTTGTTTCTCCTGGTTTTAAATGTGATGCTTTCTCTTTTACTCTTTCTTTCTCTGTTTTCATTCTTAAAATTTCTTTGTGTAAATAGTTCTTTGATCCTTATATATACTACTACTACTACTACTAGCATACATTTTATGTTACATTTTTAAATATTTTGTTATTTTTTGTTGAAACGTTCTTATTTTACTTTCAGTATATGGAAAATATCTTTATTTGAATCTCTGAAAAATGCCAAACTTAAACAAGAACTGGGCTGAAAATCAGTTTACAACACAGCGGAGGCTCTGTCATAGCTCGGAGCTCCATTTCAACCAGTGGTGTTGGAGATCTTGTTTGCAATTATGAATGTCATCAAATTTTGATCCACCATTGTCAGGGGTTGACATTTGTTCAAACACAAGTAAGAGGGAAAATGAGACACTGGCAGACCGACTCAGAGTTTCAAATGAACGTGCACACGGGTGAATGCCTCTGAGAAGACAGACACACTCGAGTACAGGCTTGTTGCTTTATTTATAAGGCAAAAATGGGTTACATAGTACTTCCTCTTTCAACTGTCAGAGCAG